TGAAGTCAGTTTTTCTATTCCTTCTGTAGGACTTGTATTACTTACAACAGTTCCCCATGGAATGTTTGTAAGTTCCCTGTTTATTATCTCCCAGTCTATCCTTTTATTATTAAAATTGAATTTACTGAATAGCCCCTCTCGCTTTATCAGCGTTTTAGGTCTATTCTGAGTATTGATGGTCGTTTGCACTTCAATGAGCTTGTGATCTGAATATGTGATATCTGATATCGTAATGTCTCTGATAATGTCTTCATTGTTCGTAAAGACCAGGTCTAGAATATTTTCATTTCTCGTTGGCTCCGATATCTGCTGATTGAGTGAAAATTTGTCACAGAATCTAAGTAGTTCTCTAATCTGTGGTTGGTTAGGTCCTGATAGATTTCCTGGTATAATATTATTGTTTGCTATTTTCCACCTGAGACTAGGCAAGTTGAAGTCACCTAGGAAGATAATATCAGGTATCTTGTTCTCGAAATTATCAAGGCTATTCTCTATTTTGCTTATCTGTTCTGTGAATTCCTCAGCCGTTGCATCTGGCGGTTTGTATATTAGTATAATCACTAAATTTATTTTCACTATTTTTAATCCCAGTACCTCTACCACCTCATTTGTAACGTTTAGGAGCTCCGAGCATACAAGGTCTTCCCTAATATGCAGACCCACTCCTCCATGTGACCTAATTTTCCTATCACACCTGTATAGGTTATATCCTGGAATCCAGATCTCATTGTCCAACAATTCCCCTGCATGGATTTCTGTGAAAGCTCCAAATACTGCATTTGACTCCGTGAGGAGGCCATTTATGAACTGTACTTTGTTGTTTGTTCTTGTTTTCAGTCCTTGTATATTGGCAAAGATGAATGACGTTACTCTATTAGTGATAGTTTGAATGGGAGACTTTTTCGGCAAGTCCATTATCCGTGGACATAATGAGTTTGTTCTGACCAGTACTGATTGTTGTAGGGCAGTTTTCTGTCGTAGTTGTAGTTCCCTTTCGGTGGGTAATTGTATCTGTAATTCTAGAATGCAAGTGGATCTGGCATCCAGTTCCATACATTCTCCATGCTGCTCCTTTTGAATTCTCTGCCGGTCTGGTATAAAAAATTTATAGAGTTTCCTCCAAATTCATTATCCTGCTTGCCACTCTTTATGTAGCGTTCCGTGCCTTTCACGTGAAAGTGTGGGCAGCTGAGGTCATAGCATTTTCTGTCCTCCAGTGAGGTTTGGCACATGTCAGGATGGAAAAACCTACATATTGATCCAAATCGACACTCACCTTTCCTAAGCATATTTAAACATTTTTTGGGATGTTGGTAACTGCATTCTAATCCTTTCTTATTACCAGCATATCTATGTCTGCATATGCCCTTTGCATAAAATTTGCATAAGTCTGTCCTTCTGTTCTGAATTGCTCTATCGGGAACCGTCGTAGTGTCTGTACCTATCGAGCTGTCAGTGCTGTCTGGTACACTTTCTAGTTCACTGTCATCTACATCCTGGCCTACTGAGTCAGAGTTTACAACTTCCTGAGTTTCAGCCTCAGTTTCATCCCTGACTATATCCTCCGCCCCTTGTATATTAATTTTGTTGTTCCTTTCCCACTCCTTCTGGATGGCTGGTAGGCTTCCAATGAATGATGTTTTCCGATCATGCGTCATGTTATCTAGAAGTTTTTTTAGGATATTCCAAGCTGGCAGGTCATTTTTACACACCCAGAGCAAGTGGCCAGCTCTCAGTGCCGTAGTGTTACTCACTCCTGTACAAGCTGAATGGAATCTAGTCTTACAGATATAACATTCAATTCCCGTTACCTTCGTCTTTAAGAAGTTGTTACAGTGGCCACAAATTTGTTTATTTACTCCCATATTGCCTTGTTTTGTTGTATATATCTATATATTTATAATATTATATGTATATTGTATATTTGTAACAATATATATTTATATGTTTAATATTTATAATATTATATGTATACCGTATATTTGTAATATTATATGTATACCGTATATTTGTAATATTATGTATGTTATTTTGTTCAAACTTTATGGCAGGTACTTAGCGTAGTTCTCACAGATAACATTACTCTTCTACTATAGAGTTCCACTTGGGTGAGCTATTAAAACTTAATAATACATCCTCAACCCTAATTGTTCCAGCAACATCACCATCTTCACCTCCACAACCGCAACCCCAGACCCACAATCCCGCGCGGGGCTGCCGCCGGCACCCGCCGCGCCGCCCGCCTTGTGCCTGCTGTGCGCCCGGCAGCGGCCTGCCACTGACGCGGTAACTCCACCCCTGCCGCCACAAGCGGCAGGTCTTATTCCCTTACCCACACAAGCGTTCTCAGACTAATTGTAAAGGTTATATTTAGCGAGGTTTGAATAGCGATGTAGCTGTATCATCGCGTTTTCTCCAGGGGAGGAATATAGGGTAAAGTCTTGGCTGATGGAGCGTGGTACCATCTTCCATCCCAGCTACCTCCCTAATCTCTTCTTCTTCTTCATTCTCATCATCATCATCATCATCATCATCATCATCACCTCCATTGCCAACGGCATCATTAGCTGGGATGTCAGGATGACCGTAGGCCAGTGACTGAGTGGGGCTTAGAATGTAGCATTTATCATCGAAAGCAGGCAGACCTCGGCATGTAATTCGGCATGTACACATCTTTCCTCCCACATTGCGTATGGATCTAGTCACAAAGTGGATTGAAGTGTTTGTTTCAAGCGTGTGTTGAAAGGCCTCGTGTGAAAGTTTCTCTTGGAGGTGTTAGGGTACTCCCTTGCATTTGCACGTGCGCTCTTCATCATGAGTGGTGAAAGAGTATGTTTTAGGTCTTAGAGCGATTAATTTATTAATGATCTTAGACCCTATTTCTGACTTGAGCAAACCAAGCTCGCCTTCGCGAGCTGTTGAGTAGGAGGGGTGGTTGATATTAAAATTGCTAAAATCCATACAGTCGAAGAGAGGAGACTTATTCATCTCTACAAACACATCCTGACAGTCTAGTTTTATGATGAAAGAGTCGGTGTCGGTATATAATAGACTTGCTTTTATCCCATATGTGAGTTTAACCACATCATACCAGAACTCATAGAGACGTCTCTTAGCAATTTGGAGTATGTGATAGCTGAGATACGTAGGAGTGCTAACTTGGAGCGACTTCTGCTTGATAGTGTAGATAACACGATTCTTACTCAGCAACAGAGCTCGCTTGAAGAAAGGATTACGAGCGTGTTTTAGGAAAGCGGCACGATCGCTTAGTAAATAGTGTTTATTCCCATATTTAGAAACATCGGTGAGGCTCTTCCTATAAATAGAATTTGATTCGAGTTTGAAAGCTTTTTTTTAATCTCGCATTTGGTGGCGGCACGTTTTCGAACATTGGTTTCAATGAAATCTTTAAGATAACTCTCCTGCTGAAATTCATAGATGTCGTGAACTTTAGCTACTTCTAACCCGATGCGCATGAGCAACTGTAACAAATCAAGACTGACTAGGTAATCTTTCTGAGGGAGATGTGAAGCGATTAATTTAGTGTTGTTTTTTAGTCATCCCACACCTTTCATCTCTAAGAATATTCTTACTGTATGGTGTAATATGTTCCTCTGTAATATCCGCATGGGAAAGAACTAAGGGAAGCTCATCAGTGTATCTGGCCACCTCTGGACTAACCTGTAATGTATCACACAACACCCAGTAATCTGTGTCTCCAATGCAGGGGATATTCTCCAAGCCCTGCTCTAACAGTACCGCATACTCTTTCTGAGTCAGCTTCCGGATTCCGCCTTGGGGGAGAGGTTCAGTCATACACGCCCCGTAAAGGCTGTTAAAGTCAAGGTAAATGATGTAGCTACTGTCTTCCCCAGATCTAAACCTGTGTGATGGTTCTCTACACTCGTGTGCTGTCTAGTTACACTAATGAAACCAACTCGGAGATTACGTCGTAGTAAATCATATAACAGCGGGTCGGACACTACATCGAGTTCAACTCTAGATTTAAGCAAGAATGCATCCCAAGCGAAGGATGGTAGAGAAATGTAGTGTGAAATGTCCAATTTGTAGAGAGAGAGCATGGTATCTCGCCAGACAGTGAACACGTCAGCCATCTACCCTGTATCTACTTTGAGGTAAATAAGGAGGTAGTCTACAATGTTGCGACATTGAGCTAGATCGAAAATTTCTATCGCCTGCTTGTAATCGTTTTCTGACAACTCTTCATCCTTCAATGTGTTGTAAAATTTGTCTCGCGAAGGATGACGTGGTTCATCCAACACACTCATAGAGGACAAGTAATCATAGCAGAAAGACTGTTTCCCCTTTAACAGTTTAGGGATGGCATCTTTATTCACTCCCTGTAACATAGCCAATTTGAAGGGGGTTGGTTTCCCACTATCGATGTGAACCTTAGCTATTCTTTCTAGTGAACTGTTGAGAAGGGCTAAACTGTCCAAAAATCGCAAGTTGTTCACATCCCCTTTCATAAATTTAAGTCCATCACTGGCTAATATATCTATTTCAACCCCCGGTCGCTCTTTCGTCTCATTTAGGATCACCCCTAAATCATAGCTGGCGTTGTGTGAAAAAGTGTAAAGGAACTTATGAGAATTTTTACATTGTAAATTACATCTATCGCAGTAAGCAGCTTTATAATTGTGCTGTCTTATTGTATGATCGTGATGTCGCACTTTGATCACGTCTTCAACGTTAAAAGGTTCATCGCAGAGCTCACGGGAAGACTTTGTCTCAAATAAAGCTTGTTGTTGAAGGGACATGTCAAGTTCATAGGTTACTATCCCTCTCTTATTCAGAGCCCAAGAGAATTCTAGTGTGTGTACAAAGTGATTGATCGCGTCTTTACCTAAATAGATATCTGTCTCGACAATATTCATCTGTCTGTCAATGATGATATAGGCATAAGCTTCTGCGTTATGACGAGGTTCTATCATCCCTTTAGGGTTAGAGCGATCCAGCAAACACTCAAAATCGTAAAATCAGAGGTGGCTAGGTCCATACCCACGACCGTAGTTGCGGAAAGGAATCTTCCTCTCTGGAGTATAAAATTTAAGAGTTTGATGTACTCTACAGCTTCCCTTGTGGGCTAGCATACGACGAGGAGAGAGTGAAATCAAACAGGAATGACAAAAGATGTGGTGCGTAGGGATGCGACCTCTATTGTTGTGTATATTACGCACATAGTGGTTAAAGTCTTTAATTAACACAAGATGCTGACCCTCTAACATTAACAGGGACACTACGTCTTTATAATCCCCCCTTCCCTTCCTGGCAAGAGTGATGAAGTGACGCCTCGTATTTTCATCCCTTTCAAGTATGTAAATGAAAATCTGCACCTTGTTGAGTTTTTCAACTTTTGCAATATCCTCAAATGTTACCTGGGAACTAACATCGCCAGGCCAGTTAATGTGTCTTAGACACCAGTTCGCTTTGCCATAGCGTTTACGAATATTATCTAGATGCTGACCCTTAGCTAAGCATTTGTAAGCTGCGAGACATTGCATAAGGCATGTACCATCCTCCCCTTCTGGATTGAAAACAAGTCGCTCCCCGCGTAAACCTTGGGGGTAGTCTACATGCGAACCTAAGCGTATAGGCCGTTCAATTTAAGCGCAATTGATGTAAAACCCCGATAAGCATTCAACTACGACATTAGACCCCTCTCGCTCACCTAAATATTGTGCAATTTTCCCTTCTAATTCGTCAGCCCAAAAATCCACCAGGGTGTCCACTTCCTCTAATGTTACTGTTTGAACCTCTCCACGTATCGGAAATCCGTCATTATTGACGGGATCCAACACATTTTCCTCTTCTTCTTCACGCACATTTAAATTGCGTACAATTAATGTAATATCTGGGTATATTAACAGTGAAGGATGGCGGGGGGAGAACTGACTTCTAATCTGATCGATAATTTTTTTTTAAATGTTGTTAAATACATTCCTGGGGAAGAGCTTACACTCTTGGGGAAGTCTAATATACGCTCTATTATAATTTTCTATTCGGTCTATGACTCGAGGTTGTACTATTTGTGTTTGTGGAGGAGGAGGAGGAGAAGGAGGAGGGGAAGAAGAGCGACTGGAAGGGTACGGGGAAGATATACCTACTCCTCGATACTGAGAGGAAGAAGAATGAGAGTCTTGTGGTGCAATACTTTCGTCTTCAGAGAGAGAGAGTGAGGATAATGATGATGCTGGGGATATAGGATTGGAAGAATATCTACCTTCACTACTGGTGCTGTACTCATCACAACCTTCACATCTATCTGCATCTTCATTACTGTTACTGCTACTGGCAACAGTACTTTCATGGTCAGTGTGAGAACCTAGCCGCAGGTCGGAGGTATGGTCGATGATGATGATGTGGTAGCCAGCACCGCTCTCATTACCATCTACATCATCACCATCATCATCAACATCATTGTTGGCAGAAGATAATGGGTCTGCATTATCTCCTTCGCTGATGCTGCTGCGCTCATCGTCGCCATCATCACCATCATCATTACTGATGAAGCAGATGTTGTTGTTGTTAGTAATGAGGTGGGACTAGGTGTTACTGCTGACGATGATGAAAGAGCGAGGATTGCCTCCGCTCTAACTTTCCATGGTGTAAGGTGAAGCACCTATAAATGAGGAAGAATGACTATAGATAGAGGAGAAGAAGAAGAAAACCTTTAGGTTTATATATATATATATATATATATATATATATATATATATATATATATATATATATATATGACTGAAAACTCACACCCCAGAAGTGACTCGAACCCATACTGCCAGGAGCAACGCAACTGGTATCTACAGGACACCTGAATCCGCTTGACCATCACGACCGGACATAAGGAAGTGATAGCCGAAGCTATTTGAACCACTTCCTTGCTGGCACTCAAATAGCTTCGGCTATCACTTCCTTATGTCCGGTTGTGATGGTCAAGCGGATTAAGGCGTCCTATAGATACCAGTTGCGTTGCTCCTGGCAGTATGGGTTCGAGTCACTTCTGGGGTGTGAGTTTTCAGTCACATATAGTCCTGGGGACCATTCAGGCTTGTTCGCATATATATATATATATATACATATATATATATATATATATATATATATATATATATATATATATATATATATATATATATTATTCTGCATACTTGGATCAGTGTTTTTGTGATCATTGTTGCATATATATATATATATATATATATATATATATATATATATATATATATATATATATGCAAACAAGCCTGAATGGTCCCCAGGACTATATACAACTGAAAACTCACACCCCAGAAGTGACTCGAACCCATACTCCCACAACTGGTATGTACAGGGACGCCTTAATCCGCTTGACCATCACGACCGGACATAAGGAAGTGATAGCCGAGGCTATATGAACCACTTCCCCGCCGGCACTCGGATGGTAATCTTGGGCATAGCATTTTATCAAATCACCTCATTCTTTGGGGCACACGTGAGGAACACAAATGCAAACAAGCCTGAATGGTCCCCAGGACTATATTCAACTGAAAACTCACACCCCAGAAGTGACTCGAACCCATACTCCCACAACTGGTATGTACAGGGACGCCTTAATCCGCTTGACCATCACGACCGGACATAAGGAAGTGATAGCCGAGGCTATATGAACCACTTCCCCGCCGGCACTTGGATGGTAATCTTGGGCATAGCATTTTATCAAATCACCTCATTCTTTGGGGCACACGTGAGGAACACAAATGCAAACAAGCCTGAATGGTCCCCAGGACTATATACAACTGAAAACTCACACCCCAGAAGTGACTCGAACCCATACTCCCACAACTGGTATGTACAGGACGCCTTAATCCGCTTGACCATCACGACCGGACATAAGGAAGTGATAGCCGAGGCTATATGAACCACTTCCCCGCCGGCACTCGGATGGTAATCTTGGGCATAGCATTTTATCAAATCACCTCATTCTTTGGGGCACACGTGAGGAACACAAATGCAAACAAGCCTGAATGGTCCCCAGGACTATATACAACTGAAAACTCACACCCCAGAAGTGACTCGAACCCATACTCCCACAACTGGTATGTACAGGGACGCCTTAATCCGCTTGACCATCACGACCGGACATAAGGAAGTGATAGCCGAGGCTATATGAACCACTTCCCCGCCGGCACTCGGATGGTAATCTTGGGCATAGCATTTTATCAAATCACCTCATTCTTTGGGGCACACGTGAGGAACACAAATGCAAACAAGCCTGAATGGTCCCCAGGACTATATACAACTGAAAACTCACACCCCAGAAGTGACTCGAACCCATACTCCCACAACTGGTATGTACAGGGACGCCTTAATCCGCTTGACCATCACGACCGGACATAAGGAAGTGATAGCCGAGGCTATATGAACCACTTCCCCGCCGGCACTCGGATGGTAATCTTGGGCATAGCATTTTATCAAATCACCTCATTCTTTGGGGCACACGTGAGGAACACAAATGCAAACAAGCCTGAATGGTCCCCAGGACTATATACAACTGAAAACTCACACCCCAGAAGTGACTCGAACCCATACTCCCACAACTGGTATGTACAGGGACGCCTTAATCCGCTTGACCATCACGACCGGACATAAGGAAGTGATAGCCGAGGCTATATGAACCACTTCCCCGCCGGCACTCGGTTGGTAATCTTGGGCATAGCATTTTATCAAATCACCTCATTCTTTGGGGCACACGTGAGGAACACAAATGCAAACAAGCCTGAATGGTCCCCAGGCTATCGGCTATCACTTCCTTATGTCCGGTCGTGATGGTCAAGCGGATTAAGGCGTCCCTGTACATACCAGTTGTGGGAGTATGGGTTCGAGTCACTTCTGGGGTGTGAGTTTTCAGTTGTATATAGTCCTGGGACCATTCAGGCTTGTTTGCATTTGTGTTCCTCACGTGTGCCCCAAAGAATGAGGTGATTTGATAAAATGCTATGCCCAAGATTACCATCCGAGTGCCGGCGGGGAAGTGGTTCATATAGCCTCGGCTATCACTTCCTTATGTCCGGTCGTGATGGTCAAGCGGATTAAGGCGTCCCTGTACATACCAGTTGTGGGAGTATGGGTTCGAGTCACTTCTGGGGTGTGAGTTTTCAGTTGTATATAGTCCTGGGGACCATTCAGGCTTGTTTGCATTTGTGTTCCTCACGTGTGCCCCAAAGAATGAGGTGATTTGATAAAATGCTATGCCCAAGATTACCATCCGAGTGCCGGCGGGGAAGTGGTTCATATAGCCTCGGCTATCACTTCCTTATGTCCGGTCGTGATGGTCAAGCGGATTAAGGCGTCCCTGTACATACCAGTTGTGGGAGTATGGGTTCGAGTCACTTCTGGGGTGTGAGTTTTCAGTTGTATATAGTCCTGGGGACCATTCAGGCTTGTTTGCATTTGTGTTCCTCACGTGTGCCCCAAAGAATGAGGTGATTTGATAAAATGCTATGCCCAAGATTACCATCCGAGTGCCAGCGGGGAAGTGGTTCATATAGCCTCGGCTATCACTTCCTTATGTCCGGTCGTGATGGTCAAGCGGATTAAGGCGTCCCTGTACATACCAGTTGTGGGAGTATGGGTTCGAGTCACTTCTGGGGTGTGAGTTTTCAGTTGTATATAGTCCTGGGGACCATTCAGGCTTGTTTGCATTTGTGTTCCTCACGTGTGCCCCAAAGAATGAGGTGATTTGATAAAATGCTATGCCCAAGATTACTATCCGAGTGCCGGCGGGGAAGTGGTTCATATAGCCTCGGCTATCACTTCCTTATGTCCGGTCGTGATGGTCAAGCGGATTAAGGCGTCCCTGTACATACCAGTTGTGGGAGTATGGGTTCGAGTCACTTCTGGGGTGTGAGTTTTCAGTTGTATATAGTCCTGGGGACCATTCAGGCTTGTTTGCATTTGTGTTCCTCACGTGTGCCCCAAAGAATGAGGTGATTTGATAAAATGCTATGCCCAAGATTACCATCCGAGTGCCGGCGGGGAAGTGGTTCATATAGCCTCGGCTATCACTTCCTTATGTCCGGTCGTGATGGTCAAGCGGATTAAGGCGTCCCTGTACATACCAGTTGTGGGAGTATGGGTTCGAGTCACTTCTGGGGTGTGAGTTTTCAGTTGTATATAGTCCTGGGGACCATTCAGGCTTGTTTGCATTTGTGTTCCTCACGTGTGCCCCAAAGAATGAGGTGATTTGATAAAATGCTATGCCCAAGATTACCATCCGAGTGCCGGCGGGGAAGTGGTTCATATAGCCTCGGCTATCACTTCCTTATGTCCGGTCGTGATGGTCAAGCGGATTAAGGCGTCCCTGTACATACCAGTTGTGGGAGTATGGGTTCGAGTCACTTCTGGGGTGTGAGTTTTTCAGTTGTATATAGTCCTGGGGACCATTCAGGCTTGTTTGCATTTGTGTTCCTCACGTGTGCCCCAAAGAATGAGGTGATTTGATAAAATGCTATGCCCAAGATTACCATCCGAGTGCCGGTCGGGGAAGTGGTTCATATAGCCTCGGCTATCTGGGGACTTCCTTATGTTCCTCACGGTGCCCCAAAGAATGAGGTGATTTGTGATGGTCAAGCGGGGAAGTGGATTAAGGCGTCAAGCGGATTAAGGCGTCCCTGTACATACCAGTTGTGGGAGTATGGGTTCGAGTCACTTCTGGGGTGTGAGTTTTCAGTTGTATATAGTCCTGGGGACCATTCAGGCTTGTTTGCATTTGTGTTCCTCACGTGTGCCCCAAAGAATGAGGTGATTTGATAAAATGCTATGCCCAAGATTACCATCCGAGTGCCGGCGGGGAAGTGGTTCATATAGCCTCGGCTATCACTTCCTTATGTCAAGCGGTCGTGATGGTCAAGCGGATTCAAGGCGTGTGCCCCTGTACTATACCAGTTGTGGGAGTATGGGTTCGAGTCACTTCTGGGGTGTGAGTTTTCAGTTGATATATATATATATATATATATATATATATATATATATATATATATATATATATATATATATATATATATATGTCGTACCTAGTAGCCAGAACGCACTTCTCGGCCTACAATGCAAGGCCCAATTTGCCTAATAAGCCAAGTTTCCCTGAATTAACATATTTTCTCTAATTTTTTTCTTATGAAATGATAAAGCTACCCATTTCATTATGTATGAGGTCAATTTTTTTTATTGGAATTAAAATTAACGTAGATATATGACCGAACCTAACCAACCCTACCTAACCTAACCTAACCTATCTTTATAGGTTAGGTTAGGTTAGGTAGCCGAAAAAGTTAGGTTAGGTTAGGTTAGGTAGGTTAGGTAGTCGAAAAACAATTAATTCATGAAAACTTGGCTTATTAGGCAAATCAGGTCTTGCATAGTAGGCTGAGAAGTGCGTTCTGGCTACTAGGTACGACATATATATATAATATAATATATATATATATATATGTCGTACCTAGTAGCCAGAACGCACTTCTCAGCCTACTATGCATGGCCCGATTTGCCTAATAAGCCAAGTTTTACTGAATTAATATATTTTCTCTATTTTTTTTCTTATATAATGATAAAGCTACCCATTTCATTATGTATGAGGTCAATTTTTTTTTATTGGAGTTAAAATTAACGAAGATATATGACCAAACCTAACCAACCCTACCTAACCTAACCTAACCTATCTTTATAGGTTAGGTTAGGTTAGGTAGCCGAAAACGTTAGGTTAGGTTAGGTTAGGTAGGTTAGGTAGTCGAAAAAAACATTAATTCATAAAAACTAGGCTTATTAGACAAATCGGGCCTTGAATAGTAGGCTGAGAAGTGCGTTCTGGCTACTAGGTACGATATATATATATATATATATATATATATATATATATATATATATATATATATATATATATATATATATATATATATATGTCGTACCTAGTAGCCAGAACTCACTTCTCAGCCTACTATTCAAGGCCCGATTTGCCTAATAAGCCAAGTTTTCATGAATTAATTGTTTTTCGACTACCTAACCTACCTAACCTAACCTAACCTAGCTTTTTTTCGGCTACCTAACCTAACCTTACCTATAAAGATAGGTTAGGTTAGGTTAGGTAGGGTTGGTTAGGTTCGGTCATATATCTACGTTAATTTTAACTCCAATAAAAAAAAATTGACCTCATACATAAGAAAAGGGTTGCTTTATCATTTCATAAGAAAAAAATATAGTAAATATATTAATTCAGGAAAACTTGGCTTATTAGGCAAATCGGGCCTTGAATAGTAGGCTGAGAAGTGAGTTCTGGCTACTAGGTACGACATATATATATATATATATATATATATATATATATATATATATATATATGTCGTACCTAGTAGCCAGAACTCACTTCTCAGCCTACTATTCAAGGCCCGATTTGCCTAATAAGCCAAGTTTTCCTGAATTAATATATTTACTATAATTTTTTTCTTATGAAATGATAAAGCAACCCTTTTCTCTATGTATGAGGTCAATTTTTTTTTATTGGAGTTAAAATTAACGTAGATATATGACCGAACCTAACCAACCCTACCTAACCTAACCTAACCTATATTTATAGGTAAGGTTTAGGTTAGGTAGCCAAAAAAAGCTAGGTTAGGTTAGGTTAGGTAGGTTAGGTAGACGAAAAAACATTAATTCATGAAAACTTGGCTTATTAGGCAAATCGGCCTTGAATAGTAGGCTGAGAAGTGCGTTCTGGCTATTAGGTACGACATATATATATATATATATGTCGTATAACGATGTCAGAGCTACTTTTGCGACGACTGTAAGTAAACTCCGTATTAATATTATTATTATTATTATATATATTATGCCAATAATGGTTATATTGATGTAGATGGATATATATAATATATATATATATATATATATATATATATATATAATATATATATATATATATATATATATATATATATATATATATCCATCTACATCAATATAACCATTATTGGCATAATATATATAATAATAATAATAATATTAATACGGAGTTTACTTACAGTCGTCGCAAAAGTAGCTCTGACATCGTTTGCAACGGATATCGTAATGTCCCGGGGATGGATTATAGCACTTGTTTCAGGGTAAAGGACATTGATAGTGCTATAAATGTAGGTAAGAGTACACTTTTCGCAAACTGCTGTATGTTCCCCCTCCATGACGCAGGTGGTAAGCAGCTTTGTGAATTGATCAACTCCCAATGGTAAACTAGCTTGGGATCTGTGTTATAACCACTAATATATGTGAAGGAGTACAAGTACCATAATGATAATAATAATAATAATAATAATAATAATAATAATAATAATAATAATAATAATAATGATGATAATAAGGAAGATGTTGTTGTTGTTCATTCACTCCATTCACCTTTATTTAGGTTTGGGTAAGAGCCGTAAAAGATACTCTGATATGACCATACTGCTGGGGATAGAGGTAGAGGAAAACACAGCCTCATTACAGGATGGTGAGGCCTGGGGCTTACCAACGTAAGGAAGAGAGAGAGAGAGAGAGAACCTTATGCCCTCCCTAACTAAGCTCATTTAGTTCTATGCCTTATTATGTTGGGAAAGTCTTTGTTTTATTATTATTACGACTAGTGAGAGATCCTCGAGGTTACCTGCCTGGCTGCTCGTCTGGTTGACCAACTGTCCACATGGGAGGGTAACCGCTTACCTGTCGACCGTGGACATGTAGCGAATGCACTTTGTCATTTCCTGTGAAATATTACAGTTTTGAACTATATATATATATATATATATATATATATATATATATATATATATATATATATATATATATATATATATATATATATATATACATCTAGTTTTTGGATGATGGCACTATAGCTGGCACCGTAGACCATCTCTTGGCAGACATCAGGAAAATAAGGGAGCAAGAAGTAAGCCTGGGTCTTGTCCTGAACCCTTCCAAGTGTGAAGTAGTCTCTTCCAACCCAGACATCGTAGCTAGAATAAGGCCTGCCTTGCTGCATGGAGCCCATGTCATTAGGGCCGAGAACAGCACCCTGCTTGGAGCCCCCCTCGGGTCTAACGCCATTGAGGAGATCCTTGACAAGAAATCGCAGACCTTAGGAGGATGGAAGACAGAAATAGGTGACATCGATGCCCACGATGCTTTTTATCTCCTCACAAATGCCTATCCCTTCCGAGGCTAACCTACTT